GAAAACACAAGAAGTCAGTCCGGGCAAGCTAATAATAGTTTCAAGGGAGAAAGGGACATGCATGAGAAGGTTTAAAATAACAGAATCAACTGGATATGTGCTATTTATTGTACGTGGACTATCAGGGTCTAGGTATAGATGGAAGGAAGAAGTGTTAGATCAATGAAATAATAACATAGTGGAAATGAAGCAAAAAGAAAGCAAGAGGGGAGAGATCAGCCTGTAAGGCGTTAGACTGAGACTTTCCAAGAAGGAGTAGTCAACAGTATGAAGAGAATACTGTAGAGGTATCACACAGGATACTTGTGAAAACAGCTATTGGGATGGTCTTTTACATTGGTTACCACCTTATCAATCGTTTTCTCATCCATTTCCAAGAAATGCTAGAATAAAAATAAAATGTAAAATGATTGAGGGGTGGTTAGGTGATGATAAGCCAGTGTGAAATGTTATTTCCCACAGTCTTTTGTGAGTGGAAAGGAGCTCTGGAGGGTTCTGCCTTGGGCTGTTAACCACAAATAGACAGTTGGAAACCACCAGCAGCTCTGTGGGAGAAAGACGTGGCTTTCTCCTCGGGTAAATATTTACACTCTCGAAAAATCCACGGGGAAATTCTTCTCTGTCCTGTGTGGTCACTATCAGTCGGAATCGACTCGAAGGCAGTGAGTCTGGTTTTCGTTTAAGTCCCAGCAACTTTATGAGGCAAGTTTATTATTATGCCCATCTTACATAGGAGAAAAGAGACCTAAAATACATGGCCTAAGGTTATAAAAAAAAAAAGTAAATAGCAGAGCCCAATGTCTCAACTAATCCAAGGGCTTAAAAAATGATATTACCTGTTCATTCCATTTCCACCAACTTTTTGAAGCCCCTCATCTTCTCTACTGTCTTTCAACAATTTATACAAACAAGCAACTAAATGTCAAACTGTATGCCTCTGTAGATCACCAAATCATTAATTTCAACTGCTTGGCTCCTTCTTCTCCTTCTCTTTGGCAGACCTTTGAATGCTGGAAATTGTTGAAAATGTGTCATGGATTATTATGAAAGTTGTAACTCTACACAGGTCTTTCAATAAACCCAAGCCTGCACATGTTCACTCAAGGAAAGTTGTTCAAATGCACGCCACTTCAACATGTGGGAGTTGCTCAACTAGAAGGCAGGCAGAGCTCAAGCCCATCTGGTTGGAGAAAGCAGAACAGGTTGTTGTGCAATAGCAAGAGCATGTGTGATGTGTCTCACTGTGACAATCCTAAATTTTAGATGGCTTTAGTATTTAACCTAAATTTTGACTACTTATCTGATTTTCCTATTTAAGACTTTTAAAAGTGCACAGTAAGTTATCCATGAAACAAAAACTTCCTTCTAATTTCCTTTTTGGTTTCTGGATTGATTCAAGTGGGGAAAAAAAGTACCCAAAGACTGCAAAGCAAGCTGTTCATAGCTATCTATCAGTTACAATCATTTCTCTGTGTGAGTCTGGATTTTGTGGATGCTTTGAAACAAACAAAGAATGAAAGAAACTAGAGGGCTGATGCAGGGCTACAAGTCTCCTTTGTCAAATTTTGGGACTCACCCAAACAACCTCATTTTCTAATTGATGGCTCTTACTGATAACGTTTTTCTCCATTAAATAAAAGTTCTAAAGCAACTTCTCTAAATCACTTCCTTCTGTTACTTGAGAGACATGGATCTTCATGATCACAGGACTGTGAAAGACTACAGTGGATACCTCAGCACAAATTCAAACACATAATTGAAGGGAAAGTCTCTTTGAGAATGGGTGAAGAAAAATGTTAATGGCAATGGCTTTTCTGTAGTTGGTGATCCCTTTATAAGGCATAAACCAAACTCCTGCCATTGAGTAATTTCCACTCATGGCAACCCTCTAGGACAGGGTAGAACTGCCGCTGTGGAACTCTGAGGTTGTACCTTTACGGGAGTAGAAAGCTTTCTCCCAGGGGAGTGGCTATTGAGTTTGAACTGCAACCCTCGTGGTTAGTGGCTCCAAGAGGAACCCACTCTATGGCTGAGTGGATTATGTGTTAGGCTGCTAACCACAAGGTCAGCAGTTAAAACCCCACAGTTGCTCTACCAGAGAAAGATGAGGCTCTCTCCTCCTGTAAAGATTTATATTCTCAGAAACTCTCAAGAGCAGCAGTACCCTGTCCTACAGGGTAGGGATTGAGTAGGAATTGACTGGTTGGAACTGAGTTTGTGTCATTCATGGTAATAATATACTGTTAACACACGTCAGTCCTATCTGTTACTATATATCCAAGAATAGTTTTGGACTAGGGACTACAATGCACCCTAGACTTACTCGAAGGAACAAGCAAAGCAAACAATAAAGCACTTTACAAATATTCAGCAACACCTGTGGATAAAATGCAAAGTGATTTTCCCCTCTGGGTTGAGAAGTCGTTCCTCCAGTTCAAGGGAGAAATGTGATTCCATACTTCAAGTCATTTGTTAGCTATTTTTAGCTCGATAGTCTAATGGCAAGCTTTACTATAGCAATCATCTTGGATCATGATACCTTTGTTTTTTTTAATCTCAAAATACCTTTCTGAGTGTAGTTTAGTTAAGTGATCAATATTTAGGGCTTGAGTCCCACATAGTCTCCTGAAACAAGACAGCTGTGATTAGACTCCCAACATATTTATGTCTTCAATTTGACAGTTGCAGAGTCATATATTTATGTTATTTTTTTATAACTGTAAATTAAAGCTGTATTAAAAGTTTGCCTCCTAGTGGGATACAACTTACAAAAACTAACATTCATTGCATGTTTATTATATGCTAGACGGTCTACCAGTGTTCCCAATGATCACAATACTACCTTCATTTTACAGATGGAGAGATTGAGAGTCAGCAAAACTATTGTGTAATAAATCCAGAATTTGATTACCATTCTCTACTACAATACCTGTGCCCTTCTTAGTATGTCATACTGCCTCTCAGTGAAGAATGAAATGTATGGAGAGTGCCTGGCACATAGTTCAACACAGTTGAACTTTCATTGTCCCCTAAAACTGTCAGAGAAACATGCACCTATATCCTTAAACAGAAGTGGAATGAAATCAGTTTGGTAGGAACTCTCCTCGTGTAGGGGAGATTCAAAGTCAACCCCTTGCATTTAATAAACTGAAATGGAAAGACTTTAAAGTTACCAAGTCTTTGTTTCCCAGTCTTTAAAATATTCATTTCATTCTAATCAATGCCTTATCCATCAAGAGATATAGAGTTGTTCCTTTAATCAACATGAAATCTGAAAACCATAGCATTTTTAGCTGGAAGGGACCTTCAGAGTTCATCTAGTTCATTTAAAAAAAATCTGTATACCGTGCCAACTTGGCATCCAACCGCTACATCCATACTATTTGACATATGAGTAACTACTACAAGGTCACAAAGCTGGCAGCGGCAAAGAAAGGGCTCAACGAATTCAAATCTCTGCGTTCCAGTTCAGTGCTCTTTCTATTTTGCCACCTAAGCACTCGATGCAAGTGTTCTCTATGCAGGGCTTGTCAGACTATTTTAAGCAAAACACAAAGCCTCTAGTAATTAAATGAGTGGATTCATCTCTCCAGCGACTCTGTAGGATAATCTGACTGGCTAATCTCTACTGAGAGTAGATGATGCACTGGACTCTGGACTAAATTCTTGATCAGTATCATTTCATTTCACTCACCTAGCTAGCACACCTGTCTGTGGGATAGTTTGTTCTTTCTTTTTTTGTTAACCTTTTTTTTATGGTGACAGGTAATTCTTTCTTATCATTCATTCTCACATGACCAGATGAAGGAATCTAGACTCTGAAAACTTAAACTAAGTTGCCCAAGGTCGCAGGACTAATAAACAAGGGAAATGGAATTTGAACCAAGGTCTGCCTCAAGGCCCAGCTCTGGACCGCGACAATATGCTGTTATTGCCAGTGTCTCTTCCTTGTTCTCAAAAGAAAAAGTATTTGTGTCCTTTGGATCGTAGGAGATACACCCCCCCCCCAATACATGCAGAAGGCATACATACAAACCACAGACATAAGGTATATATGCTGTACATATAGGTATCTACAGAGGCCCTGGCCCTATATACACACACTATCTACATAGATCCTGTATCTATAAAACAGATACCTACTCACAAAGATGGTGGTTTCTGGAAAGGTAATTGAAAGGTGAAAAATAATAACCCACACATTGAAAAACTACCCCAGCTACTTTTTCCACAGTCTAAGGTCTTTGTTGTCCTCATGCATAATAGATCTCTTCTTTTTCAATTACATTAATCACCTGTTTTGGAACTCAATAACCTCAATCCGATTTTTTTTTCAGAGGAAACTGAAAACATGGATCATATCAATCATGTGGGCCTAGAGACTAGGGGGTGGGGGTGGGGGCGGAGAAGAGCCCAGGAGCTCAGCAAAGTTCCCACCAAAATTGCAAGGAGGTGAACAAGGCACCATCACACATTCTTGTACCTGATACCTTGGGAAACCTGGACAGAACAATCAGGGACAAGAGGCGCTGCAGCCAGCCTGGGATTGGGGAGCAGGAAAGAGTGGGGACAGGATTTCCAGACAGTCCTCTCAGCCATTCCAAAGGCAATGCCCACCAACCTTTTCATCACAGACATGGCATTCATTGCTGTGAAATGCCAAAGGAAAGGGACACCAGAGCTGAAACTGTCCCTCGGCCCAGTTTGCCAGCCTCCGCCCCTGTTTGCGCTATTTCCATCTGAGTGGGAATTTTCGGAATGATCCCCCCGCCCCGCGGCCGCCACCCCGCGCCCCGCCACCGGCCGGACCCCCTCGCGTGGTCAGTCTCAGGGAGGGGAAGCCCTTGCCGCACACGGGGGGGGCGGGGAGGGGGAAGAGGGGCAGAAAGGACACTCGTTTTCCTTTGGAGCCAAGGGAAGGGTGAAGGGCACCTAGGAAACGCAGACGTGGGACGCGGCGGCCGGGCTTCACAGAGGTGCAATTTAGCAGCTGCACTCACCCGGGTGCGACATAGGAATGACCTCATTGCGGGTCCCCGGGAAGTTAAAGATGACGGCTCCGGACGCCCCTCTCTCGTAAGCCAGGTGGATTTTGTCCGCAAAGGTGCAGCCCCCGCCGCGCTGGATGAGGGCCAACCACGAGACTTGCACGACGCCCCCCCAGTCCCCCGGGACCGTGGGCACCGTGAAATTCGTCTGCGGGTGGCAGGCGTTGAGCGCCCCGGGGCCGTCGGGCGGCACCAGGACCCCGGCCACGGGCTCCAGGGGCGAGTCCTGTCCGTACACGCCCTCCTCGCTCAGCTCCCACACGGTGCGGTTCACGCCGGTGTTCGGCGCCCGCCACGACACGTTGAGGTACGCGGTCCACACGGCCTCGGCCCCGCGGGAGCTGTGCGCGTGCGGACTCAGGGCCAGCAGCAGCCCCCAGGCGAGCAGTCGGGGACAGCCGCGGCCGGCGACCCGGGACGCGGGCGGCGGCCCCATGGCGCGCGCGCTCCGCGGCTCCTGAGGGCCCCCGGGACACGCGCCCGCCGGGCGCTCAGCGGGACCCCAGCCGCCACCAGGGGCGCGCCAGGTGGGGGGAGGGCCGGAGAGGCCGGCCGGTCGCCGGGTCCCAGGCGCAGGGTCCCAGCACGCCGCGTCAGGGATGTCGCCGCGGAGGCAGCTTCCCACTGCTGGCACTGGGCGCCGCGACTGCTGCGGCCAAGTCGGGCTCGGGGCTCCAGCGGGAAGCTCCGCCCCGCCGCCTGGGGTAGAGGTGGCGGCGCGAGAGGAAAGGACACTGCGGGATCCGCCTCTTAAACGGGTAACAGGCGGCGAACGCTTTCCAGTGCGCTCTGGGACGGCGTGGCCTGGGCGTGTAAGGAAAAGAGCCAAACAGACCAACCGGAAAACCCCGACAGGAGAGGCTTCAAGTCCGTTTGGAATGGGCCACAGTCCATTTTCCCCTGCAAACAGTTGCCTCAAAGGACATTTCAGGCTCGAGGTGCTAGCACGTGAAAGGAGTCAGAAAGAGTGGATCCAAAGGGTCCGAGTTGTCCTCTAGAGGATTTGGGTAGGTGGGTGGTGCTAGGAGCAAGCTGTTGACTGAAAGGAGGGTGGCCACAGGAAAAGCAAATTGCTAACCTTTCTTTGCTGGCCCCAAATGACTCCCCACCCCCACCCCCACCCGCCACCGCCCCCTTTTCCTGCTCCAAGCAAACCTCATACAAATAAATGTATTTGCTTCTTACCCTGACCCCAGGCTAAACATACTGCCCCAGGTGTCCCTTCCAAAGGAAGCTCTGTTCTCAAAAAGGAAGCACAGGCGTTGATTGGGTCAGGATCATAGCCCGTAGTTATGCTCCAACCATCATAGAGCCAATGATAGGACAAATTCAAAGTACATGCCTTGGTTTGTCATAACAAAGCGCCATTACTTCACGACCCGTATAAAAACTTTATTATTCGGTTATTATGCTACACAGGTCTTTAGAGTATCTAGAAATATTTCTTTATTTTTGCATAGAAAGGGACACTATATAATGCCAGGGAAGCTTCACAAAGTTCTTCGGAGAATTTCCTTATCTTTTAATTCCAATTCTCCCATGGACGTTTTGAAGCCCCAGAAGAGGCATGGATGGTGAGACTTCATCTCACCTACCTGGCACTTGTTAGGAGAGACCAGCCCCTAGACAAGGAAGAGGAAGACTTTCCTATGGTGAGCGAGATGGATTGACAGAGTGGCGACATCGTTGAGCTCAAACATCAGAACAATTGCAAGGATGGAGCAGGGCGGAGGGTCTTGTTGTCTATAATAAAGTCACTACAAGTCAGAACCAACTCCAGGGCACCTAACAACAACAAAAACAAAGACTGCTGTTAGGTACTACCGTCAGATTTAATCATATTTACATCAACAATTCTTTGAAAGACAGATTGGTCATTTCTTACTAAGGTCAACACAGGCATACCATATGATCCAGCAGGCAAAGAAACAACCCCCAAATTAGAAGCAACCAAGATAGGTGAATGGATAGCCAAGCTGTGGTACAATGAAGTGTTATTCAGCAACAAACAAAAAGAAATGAGCTATTAAGCCATGAAAAGACATCGAGGGACCTTCGGTGCACACTGCTAAGTCAAAGAAACCAGTTTGAAAAGCAAACTACATACTGCATGGTTCCAGCAATGTGACATGTAGAAGAAGCAAATTTATAGACAGTGAAAAGATCAGGGGTTGCCTGGCAATCTGGGGGCTGGAGGAGGGATGAATAAATGGAGCACAGGGCATTTAAGGGGAGGGAAACCATGCTGTGTGATACTATAATAGTGCTTACTGGCATGCTGTATTTTCAAAATTCGTATGAGATGCAGTCAATTAATTAATATGACCCGTTGAGCCATAGTACCTTTTGTGATGTAGATTCTAGCCTGGACACCTGTGGTCCTAATCCCATTTTGGAGGGCTTTCTTTGCTATCCTCATGGAGAGGATTACAGTTGGATTTTGAGTCTCCACTTTACCAGAGCTTGTGATTCAAGTTAGCACCATTTGTTTCCTTGGGGAATGCTGTGCTGAAATCCAAAGCCACACTTCCATCAAAGCCATTATTTTTGTGACTTCCCCTTCCTGGTTGAGCTTGCATAAAATCAAGGAGAACTGCTTTGACTTTTTAACATTTTTGCCTCAGGCTCATGATCCTGCACCTGGCTTGTGTCTGCCTGACCTCTGGTTCTTGGAACTGGAATTGTGGCATATCACCTGACCTGATTTTACCAACTTCTGCAGCCTTGTAGATGCGGGGGGTGGGGGGAGCCGCCATACTGACATATAAACTTTGGACTTTGGACTTAGGAGCACCCACAATCACATGATCAATTTCCTTAACACTTGTGAGTTCTGTAAAATGTTGCAGTGAATTGCAAAACCCTAGGACTTAAGGGACTGGACTAAGGGGAAGAGTGGTGGTTGATATCAGGACTGATAAATGGACAGATAAAGCATTTTGGAAATTTTGGACATTTGGACATTTGGGATGTCTTTAATCTGCACTTCCTTGGGATTAGTCTTGCATTGTTTTCTAACAGAAATTAGTCTCACATCATATGACAATACAACACAAAAAATAAATCCTAACCTAAAGTATGGACTTTACTGATGAACAGTATTGTTTCATCAGTTGCAAAAAATGGACCACAAAATAGGATGCAAGATAATAGGATACTAGGATAAACGGTGTATGTGGGAAGAAGGGGGATGTGGAATGCGGTACTTTCTGCACAATTGTCCTATAAACTAAACCTGTTGTGATAATAATCTATTAAATATTTAAAAGTATACATGTTTATTATTTTTTTATTAAACAACTTTAGGGGCCCAATAACTTAAAAATAATATTAAAGCTGCTACTTTGTGGTAATAATCAGAGCAAATTATATTGAGAATGTTCAATCTTAGCCCCCTTTTTTATTCAAAGAATGATAATCTACTTTATCCAGCCCAATATTTGTCAAATTCTTCATCAACCACTCTCCTCTGACCCTGGCCCAACTTAATGCACTTAATCAATATCATTATTCCCAAAGGTTAAGCATGAGTTGATTGTGCCCTCATGACTCGAGAGAAACCCCGAAGAAAATTAACACCATGCACCAAGCAGCATCTGAAATTCATATAAGTGAACACTTCTGTGAAACATGAATCCTAGCAACTGGAAGGTATTTTAGAGGCCAAGGGGAGAGATATATGGGTACCATAGCATGGTCCTTCAAACTACTGATAATGTTAAACTCTGAGATCAAAGTTACCTAGGAGTAGAGTTCCAGCCATCTGTAAGAAATGGTATAATTCAAGAAATGAATTTGCTGGTGAAAATTCAGTCAAGATTACTTGCATGATGATCAATTATATTATACTTGGAAGAACAATATGTCCTAAAGAAAGTGAACATTTTTTTAAATTTAAATCATTTTATTGGGGGCTCGTACAATTCTTATCACATGCATTGTAATTTTTTCTAATTATGCCCTCCTCTCAAGATACTTTTGTAAGCATGCTCTGCTATTAAAAAAAAATGGCATGTCAAAATAAGCACAGTGCATTTACAAAAATGCCTTGGGGAATGGGGAAGGTTGGGGCGGGGGAAGCAGCTCATGTGTGTTATGTACACAACAATATGGTAGTTCAAAATGGCTGGATGCTAAAGTACAAAGACAAATTAAAAGATGAAGCTCAAGAGGTACACAAAAGCTAGTTCTTGAGGGTCCTTTGGATAAAGCAAGGGAGTTTGGATTTGATCCAAATGCAAGGAGTAATATAATCAGGATTTTCAGCAGGGAGGGATGTAATCAGATCGGGGTTTTAGAGATCATTATGGCTTGTGTCGTTAATATATTGGAGGGGACCAGAGTAGAAGCTGGAAGCCCAAACGGAAGGTTGTTGGCAGTGTTCCAATGGAGATATGAAGATGTCATAGATTAAACTGTTAGTGAAATGTGTTTGGGAGGTAGAATCCATAGGACTTGGTTTAGAAGATGAAAGAGAGGAAGGAGTTAGGGATTACTCTGAAGTTTTCGGCTTAGAAGACTAGACAGTGTTCAATCAGGGAATGTAGAAGGATGAGCAGGGGAGGGGAGAAAAACTCAATTTAGACAAGTTGATTTTGAGGTACCTATAATATAACTAAGTGGGAGCCCTGGTGGCATAACTGATTAGCTGTTGGGCTGCTGACCACAAAGTCAGCAGTTGGAAATCACCAGGAGCTCTGCAGGAGACTGATGAAGCTGTCTACACCAGTAAAGATTTAGTCTTAGAAACCCACATGGACCATTCAACTCTGTCCTCTAGGATTGCTATGCGTCCGAAAGGATTTGATGGCAGTGACTTTGGAGGTTGTTTTGGCTCGTTTGTTTGTTTTAATAATGTAGCTGAGTTGAAATCAACTCAAGGGCAGTAGGCTTGGTTTTTTGGTTTATCATGTAACTAAGGAACCCCGGTAGTGATTAAGGTCTTGGCTGCTAATTGAAATGGCAGTGGTTCAAACTCACTAGCTATACCATGGGAGAAGATGTGGCAGTCTGCTTCCATAAAGATTACGGCCTTCAAATTCTAATAGGGTGGTTCTACTCTGTGCAACAGGACTGCTGTGAGTCGGAATAGACTCAGTGACAAATGGGTTTATGAGGTAACCAGGTTGTAGCTGGATTTTCTGATTACCGAACACTTAACCATGGTAAAGGAACTAGAGAGGTGGGGTTACAGAAACAAAAGAAAGAGGTCTCCCCCACCCCCGTCCCCAGAGAGTTCAAAGTTTAGTGGGGCACTTAGTGAAATAAATAGAAAATAGCAGTCCAGTGTGACAAATGCTATGATTGTGCTATGAGAACGATGTTATCAGGAACATCAATGAGGTTGAGTCTTTAAGAAAAAGTAGAATTACCACCCCCCCCAAAAAAAGTAAGGGTGTTCAAACAGGAAATTGCATATGGTATGAGAACACCAGG